TGTCATTTTTGTTACGCGTGTGTTGATGACATGCAAACAATATTACTCGACAACACGGGTCCGGCAATCCGGGAGTCCTGACCTGGATTTACCTGTTCCTCAGACTGGTTTTTATTTTTCGGGAAACAGGTCTTCGATTCGGGGCTCAGGGCCCAAATCCAAATCTGAAGAGTTCCCATGGGCTTAAAAAGCTGCTTAATGTATGGAACCGTCGCAGTGCGGCTAGCAGCAGCAGCTTCTTCGACAGATGCGTGCACGCTGTTTGAGACAGTATTGCGCGGTTGCTGCTGGACGGCAGCTATCGCCAATCTACCTTATGCGGAATTGCTGCAGATGACCCATCCAGCAAAAGCTGGAGCACCAGACCCTTAGACCAAACTGCATCGACCGAGTGCTTTCTCTGTACGTGCAGCGCTTCAACAACGGGCCAAAGACAGAGATCGAGAGCAAAATGGTCCGTCCGCAAGTCAGGGTAGTCCTAATCTAAAGGTTTTGTGTTCGCCGTTTTGTGTGCGGCGACGGGGTGTGTTGGCAATAACCTGTGGCCTAGACCAGGGAAATTCTGGAACCTTTGCGGTGTAATTAGCCGTCATGGATGTGTATCTCGGTTTCGGGGCGAAAGAGTTCGAGCAGCCTTAACTGGGATCCGCCACTTTTCGGACTAGGTTTGAGCGGGCGGCCAAAGCCCGAACAAGCAACAAAAAGCCCTAAAGTCACCAAGCGCTACACGAGCCACAAGACTGCAAAGCCCGGAACTGTATGTAGACCTTTGCACCGAAATATCACAGAGACAAGCTCACTACTCACCTCACTGTTGGTACGGTATGCTGATTTTTCTTCGGGTCTCCACTTATTCAAACCTAGGCAGCTGAAGTCCTACATCGCCAAGCCCGCCAACTCCAAGCACCCCGAACCCCCCCTGAATCCAAACCTGTAAACTCCTGCACGACCAGGCGGTGCTACCCTGCTGGGGCCGCGAAGGCCCAGACTTTGCTCAAAACAACCCTGGCTCCCTTTGCGCTACAGATCAGGTCTAATCTCGCTACTGCACAAAGGAGGCTATTCATTCCTAAGTGCTCCTATTTCAGGTCTCGATGTCGTGGCTGCTTTGGGCGGTCAGATGCCACTGAGCGGCAAGGGTTGAGGGTTGACGCTCTTTGTGCGAGGGCCAGGAGGGCGGGCTTGTTTGCTGTTCGGGCTCGGCATGGTGCTCCAGGCAGCCTGGAAGCTCAATAGCCCGAACCTTGACCCCACGGAGGTTCCCTGTCCTGCAGGGCGACTTCACTTTTGCTGGGGCCTGAGGGTGCATATTCTTGCTCGTGGAATCGGGACATTCCTGGTCCGAGTGCTTTTCGACCTCAGGAAAAGCCATCGCCAAGTCCCACAATGGCCCGATTGAAAAACCCCTCTTTGAATCCCACAACCCAAGCATCGTCGCCCCGAAGCGGCCCCCGGAGCCCCAAGCCCAAGTCGCCACACAACATTTTCCAAGATTGGAGATTTGCTGATCATCTTCGGGGAACTGGCCCGATGCTCAGAGGTCTTGGCGTGCTGCTCCGGTTGGGCTTCAGGGGTTGACATTCCAGCATGGTGGGCGTGCAGGCCATGCTGTCCATTCCCGACTCTTCGATCATCCTTGAAAAAAGACGCCATGTGCAACACCTGCTGCGCCCTCCAGGTTCTCCTGAAGTGCACGCATGCGGTGCTCATGCTCAGAGCCGAGAGCTCAGATGGGCTAAATCTAGCTAAGTGTTTCTGCACGGGTTTACGTGGCTCTGCATGGGGCGTTGACGAAGTCCATTGCCCTGGCAGTATGGCAGATGGAAAAGATTTCACATCCATGCTTCCAAGGGTGTGTGTTCGGGCTGCAAGCTTCCGGAAACTGCAGCAGAACTGCAGCTTCTGCTTCCGAATTTGCGCGGGTTGATGTGTTTCCATTCGCGTGGCAGTGGTAGCTACTGCTAGTCTGCTAGTGCCTTCCCCACAGTCCTACACAGCTTTGTCAGAATCCTCCTGGATTGGTCCCTCGCACGCTGGAGGCCTATCATAGCTGCTGCAATTGCCGGCGGGCAAAGGCAGAGTGCAACTTCCTGGCTTATCCGGGCCCGGAGATGCATCCAGGTCTGAAGGCTTTGTAGAGCCTGGAGTGTCCGCGCTACGCGAGTTGAAATCCGAGGTGTTCCGAAGCTTTACATTTTGAGCCTACAAGAAGCCTGCCCTTAAGCCCCGCGAGCTCTAGCCACCGAGACAGTAGATTCCTGAAGCTGGTGAGCTTGTCCCGTTCACTACAGCCCCCGACCCCAAGACGAAAGCCGGGAGTAAAAGCCTCCCCTCCTTTGAAGAACTCAAGGAAGCCACTCATACCAAACCTGGTCCGGAATTCGGTTTGGGAATCACTCTTTGATTTGGGGTGCACAGCTTTTTTTAGTGAAGTTGGTTGTGGGGGCAGCTTGAATCTTGTCAGTCTGTATCTCAGGGTTAAGGAACGACGGAGCAGTGTCTTTAGCTTGCCGATCGGTCAAATGCGCTTGTTTGACGACCCTTGACAGAAAGCCGTGTCCTGCACCTCGCCATGTTGCGAGGCCTATGTGACAGCCAGGCGCATAGAAAAGGATTTGCCGGGTCCCCGGCCATCGGCTCTTGTGGCACAACACGGAAGCCTCATTGATGGTTTTCCCATTCGGTTTCGGTTTGCCCTGAACCCATAAAGACTCGGTTCGGGTCAGGTTTTGGATTTTACGGAGCTGTGGTCCAGCAAAGACTTCGAGCTGGTCAGGTTTCTGTGACCTTCAAGCAGGCCCCCGACTACTCAGGATGAGTCCGGACACCCGGCGCCATCGACACGTTTGAAACGCCTGCCACAGTTCGGCGCCGCAGGCGCGAGCCTGCGAGCAATGTGGATTCTTTCGCTGCCTGTGTATCTTGCTTACTGGAGTAGTGACTTTCAAGCTTGGCTCTCTCTTTCACCCTGAACTGCCTTGAGGTCTAGGCAGATGTGCTCGTCTTGGGCGATGTCTAGAAAGGTGTGTCCAGCCCATGCCGCCACTGAGATGGGCCCGCACAGTCTAGAGTCTAGAATGCGTGCCGTGTTGAGGTGCAAGGTTCAGGACACTCCTGAGCAGATTTCGGAAACTGTCACAATGTTGTGCCCTTGATATTCCAGCATGCCCGTCTGCACGAAGTGTTAGTCAGCATTGGACTTTGCAGCATGCCATCTTCTAAAAGGAAAGCGTTTAGAAAGGCTTAGACAAAGGCTCGCACGTGGTTCAGTGTTCCATCATTCGATTGCGGCTCCTTGTCTTCGAAAGGACTCACCTTCAAATCCGAAGCCTGTCAACTTTAGTAATCAAACTTCAGGCGGTTGAGGACGCACGTGTGTGAATTGTGGGAACGTGCGCTGTCTTCACAATCTGCTCGAACTCCTATGCCTCGCCTGGATTGATTGCCAGGCTGGTGATGGGAGCTCAGGCAATTGAATCTGTTTGAATATGCCTAGACTTCCGTAACCCGGACCTTTCAACCTTGCACCGAACCGAGTCGAATTCTTGCACGTCCTTTTGATGGCCACGCCATTTCGGGCCCATCCGGAAGCTGTCGGAAGATTCCACGCAAGCGAGAGAGCCAAGCCCACCTTGCCAACCCTGTTAAGTAGGTTTTCCACCACAGGAACCTCTTGATGAGACTTACAGACATCGGGCGCATACGACTTCTCGAGGTATTTTCGTGTTCACCATTGTTCATCGACTTCCTGGCCCAAAGCCTGTGTATCCACGGTACAGTGCTTGCTGACTAGAGGCCGTGTGCCGTTTCCGTGCTTTCGCGACTATTTCAGTGCAGGCCCCGGAATTCGTTTTCTGCAGTTGCCGGAGAGCCCATGAAATCCCGAGGGTTCGGGGCTTCGGATTTCTGAGAAATCCGAACACCGTCATCAAATCCCCGGAGGGAGCTCTCCACTGTTGGGCATTTGCCCAACTGTCAGGAAGCCTCAGAAAGTTCGGGGGTTTCCAACAGTCTTCGTCCAAGGCATCGCTGAGCCGTTCTGATCCTCGTTGCAAGGCGCCCCCCCCAATATGGCAAAGCTATGAGACAACATTCCAGAGTCCTGAGATTCTCGGCCCATACGAGACTTTTTCTAGGTCGTTAGGGTTTGCCTTTGATGTCTCCCGACTTCGGAAGCCTCACCCACAAACACGAACCCACACCGTAAACTTTGCTAGAGTCTATAGAGGTCGGACGGGTCAGCAGAGACTCCCCACTGCGAGCTTGTAGAATCCACTCGCCACAGGCCACCCGAGCCTTTCGATACTGTAGTATTTTCCTCGATCCGACTATCAGAAACAAGTTGAGCAAGGTTTAAGGTTCAGGGCTCTCTGAGGCGGGCAGCCGGGAGGCACTTCAGAGAGACCTCGTTCAAAAAAGGGCTCAGAGAGCGACAGCCGAGATAAAGCATATCGAATAGTGCTTAGTGGATTACAAGGCACCGTATCTGCATCCACCCACCAACCACCCCGAAGCACTTAGAGCCTTGGAGCCGAGATTTTTTTTAGGTCCAAGGACCCTGTTGCGGTCACACGGACAGCCTTTGTCGCGGCTTCATGCGACAGGCATGGCTCAGGTGGACTTCAGAGCAAGCGGTGGGATTACGGTCTGGCTAGTCGACAGGAGCAGTGACTGCCAGAACCGTCAGTCACATTAAGTCACATCTCCATGAAGCTTCAAGGGAACAAGCTGAGCCCAAGCCCTCGAAAGCGGTTGTCTGGACCAAGAAGCACCGAGCTGAATTGCACGATGCATGAGCACTGGGCTCCCGATTTTCCAGAGGCTTTCCATGGATTCAGAGTTTTCGTTGTCAAGGCTTCGAGCAAGGCTCAGTACCTACATCAGTTTTGGGTGTGTGACGAATGCCTTCGCCTTCTCGTGGCTCGCACATCCTTCCACACCAGGGTCGGGGTCTTACAGCTGGGCCTCTGCAGCTTTGGGCGCCGAAGGTGATCAGAGCCATGGATCCTTGGCATGAACAGTGTCCCTTGTCCTTTCTTGAACCATACTCTTGCTAGTGTAATTGTAAGCCGTTTTCCTGAGGGTATCACCGCAGAGCATAGGACCTGTCTGATGAGGAGCATTCGGATTTGGAGGCAGAGCAGTCAGGCAGCCTCAGGAGCCTCACGCGCTGTCCTCACCAAAGTGAGGGACTTGGACGATGGAAGGCCTCGGCGAGGGGTTGGACTTCCCTGGAAACCTGAAATCTGAAGGCTGGAATCTAATCTTGGAGTCTCTTGGAAACTCTGCATTCAGGCCGCTGCCGGAGGCGCCTTAGCCCTTCTGGCGCTGACTGCCTTTGCCGCTGTCCACCTGCGACAGGCCAGAGATCTCAGCTGCAGGGTTCAAGGATGTGGGGTCTCGGAGACTGGAAGAGCATAGGCATAGCCCAAACTTCGTAGCATGGGGACTTCAGGACAGGGCCCGGCCGGGCAGGGACTGCAACGAGGCTTTCTGAATCCTCAGCCTTGAGGGGAACTCCAGGGCCCATACGTTCACAGCCCTGAGGCAAGGCCAGCGATCCTGGAGCAACGATCACGGGACAGCGTGCAGCTTGTGGATGCCATCGACAGCCCTTGCCCCACTTCGGTCCCAGCGACCTGAGCTGCAAAACCCAGCGAGAGAGAGAGAGAGAGAGGGATGGATAGATAGATATATATATATATATATCAACATTTATCGGAGCAACGATATATGCAGGCTAGGTTTTCTCTCAGGGTACTTTGGCTTACTTTTTGCTGTATAATGAAGCTGATTGGCTCCGAAAGCCTCCTTTTTCGCCTTTTTGGCAAGCCTCGGGGAATAACCCCGGCGGAGAGCTCCGACTTCGGTACTTCTGCACTTGTGCATCTTCTGTATCTTTCGGGGTGCCTTTTCCCTTGGTTGTGATTCTTATACACGGCAGAAGGAGTAGCCTTTGGTGTTTGTCTGCCGTTTTTGCCAATCGCTCCGCAACAGGCGGGGGTGCTGACGTGCGTGGGTAAGGGGGTCTGCCCCTTGCCCCTAGCCCTGGCGAAGGATGTATGTATGTATGTATGTATATATATGTATGTATATATATGTATGTATATATATATATATATCTCTCGATTATGAGTTTTGCATGAAGGCTTTCAGTTTGGAAGTCTCGGGTAAATTGATTTGTTGCTCGCTCGGAGTGCGGACTCCAGGGGTCTAGGCAAACGGAGGCTCGGTGTTTGAAGTGGTTTCGAGATGCCGTTAGTAGTATGTGGTCGGCATTCCCATGCAAAGACTTTGAAACTCCGTTTTCGAGTCTCGGAGGTGTGCACCAACAGCCAACAGCGATAGGGAGTGATTCTCTCGGTAAAGGTCAAATCAACTCCGCAGACGAAGGTCCGCAACCCTGGGTTCAAAAACGCTGATTCCCCAACCAGGCCTTGATGTTGTTGAGATTTAAATCCTGCCCTGCCAACCGCTGCGAGCGTCATCGAGCAACCTCCAGCTATAAGAAGTGGAATGCCTCAGGGGAGACATCGACTGCTAGAAGCACCACTGTCTGGCATGAGTGCCGTGGACGTACACAGGCCTGCGGCTACGGTGCTGGAGCTTCAGATTGAGGTTGCAAGGCTCCGGGCTCCTGAAGCAGCATGCGCTTACATCATGGATTTTCAAGTTTCGTGTGCTTTTGTCCACGGTACAACATCAAGCCCTAAACCATAAGCCCGTGCTTGCTAGGCTAAAGACAAAAACTACTGCACCATTAACCCCATCTGGCAAAAGCCGAGTGTAGAGCGTCAACCGCGAGTCCAAACTCAGACTTGGGTTTCGCCTCCACGCGACCATGTCCGACTGCGAGGGCCGAAACCCAACATCCCAGATTGGATGCAAATCAGAATCGTTTCAAGCGCTCCTCGCCCAGAATGCTCTGAGAGAAACAACGCCTAAACCTTAGATCGCTCACCTGAAGCCTTAAACCCTACTCGTTATTGTCCGATGAAATCTTAAACCCCAAACGCCGAAAGCTTCGACCCCGAGCAAGCAGCGAGCACTTGTTTCATGCTCTAAACTGCGGGCCGAACTCTACCCTGAAAGCCTTGAGCCTTAAAATCCCAAACCCGCAAACCTGAAGACCTTCAATTCTAAACCCTACGCCGTGCTTCGGCAGCATGAACCTGGCAAGTCCGTGTGAGAGCAAAGAGCCGAAATCGCACTCGCCCACGCTCGACATCCTCGAAGCCTCGAATCTCAGACTTTACTTCCGTTCGGCGAGCCCTAGAGCCCTAGATGCCTTCACCCACGAACCTGAAGCCCTTCAACCCGAAATCCTCAACCCAACATCCGACGCCTTCGCCCCTAACCCAGGTGTTATGCCCCAGCCTTGACTCTAAAGCCATGAGCCATCATTGAACCGAAGGCCAAAGAACCACCAGATCCACGTTAAGTCTTAAGCTCTTGCAGCCTGAGCCCTGCAGGCACGAGCCCTAGAACCCTTCGTAAAGGTAGAGACCCCCAAACCCGCAGCCTAAATCCCACGGTGTCCGGCTGATGCTTGTACCGTCAAATTGTTGTTTTGAAGAATATGGGAGGGTACCAGGTTGGGAGGAGTGTGTCAGCACACGTTTGTGTAGCCGGGTCAACCCAAAAACCCAAGAAGCCTTGTGGCTGGGCTGCCAAAGTGGCCGGACTTTGGGGTTCTACCTAACAACTGTTTTAGCCCGGATCCTGCACCTGGCTAAGTTCCGTTGCCTTGCATCGACGGCAAGCAGTCCGATTTCTGGTACACCACGTTGATGATGTCCGGGAATCTTGGCGTGCTCGGGCTTGTGTGGTCCAAGTTCTGAAGTCCAGACTGCAATGCTGGCAGGAGTTGAGTTTGTTTGTAGGGCTCGGGTTTGAAATTTGTTTCTGGGACAGGCAAACATGGCAAAATGCGGGTCACGATTTTCGACCAGGGCGCTTGCTGTTCTTCTCTTGTCACAGGTAGTGAAATTGCTCGGGGGCCATCATCATGGTAGTGTTGTCTTTTTTGCTGAGGGCGTGGTTATCACTTTCACCGCTTTGACTCTGGTGGCTGCGGTGGGAAGAAGATGGTGGTAATCACGAGCTGGGGCGGACGACGAAGAACCAGAAGAAGTGATAATGTTTCGTTTAGTCTTCTCTCGCCAACCGAGGAATGCATATCTACCCGCAGTGAAGGCCGGGATCGAGAATAGGAGTTGGACTTCTCGCTGAGCTTCTGGTTCAAAGTGAAAGTTCCGCCCCAGCCTCAAGGCTCTCTAAGCCTGCATTATGACTGCTGAAACCCAAACAGGACAGCCTTCAACCTGAAGCCCGCAGCCCTTGATGGGCTTCGTCGGCCTGAAATGGATTTCGGATTTGAGGGGAGAGCGCTTCACAGGCACAACCCTCAGCAAGGTGGTCCGTTGCTGAAGAAGCCGAAGCATAATTTGCTGCCAGTTCCTGGCGCGGTCAGCAACATTCCATGGCTTTTGATGGTAAAGCACCAACATGTGTCAACAGAAGCCGCTTCTGCCTGCAGGTCATGGCAAGCTCGTTGAAGGCCTCACGCAGTCGTAGCAAGCTGTTGGTGATGCTTGTGGCGCACCTTGCCTGGATTCTCGCTGAGAGAGCAGCAGTACTTCGGTGTTGGAGGGTGCGCATCGCTGTTCTTCATACCCTCAGCTCTCCAGACGTAGTTTTTCCACTCACGGGAGCCGTGTTTTCAGACGCGAAGTGTGAGAGTATACATGCAGGCATGCCTGGACTACCATCTTGCAGTATTGCCTGACATCTACGACTCTCTGCTACTGCTGCTGCTGCTGCTGCTACTAGTGCTACTGCTACTGCTACTGCTACTGCTACTACTACTACTACTACTACCAGTACGACGACGACGACTACTACATTGTGTCGGGAATCGAGAACCACTACTTCATGTCGTAATCTTTGTAATCTTGGTCATGTTGGGCATCTTGCTGGGGGGCAAGGTTACATGTCATGTTAGTGATCTTGGTCGTCTTGGCAATCGTGCTTTTCGAGGTTCTTTTTGGGGGAGGGGGTGCCTGTCATTTTGGTAATCTTGGTCATCTTAACACACCCCCCCGGACACCCCGACCCCCTGCGCGCATCGTTTGGGGTTTGGGTTTAGGGTTCAGGGCTTTGGGCTTCAGGGCTTTTAAAGGCGTTCTTGCATACAAGCCTGCAGCAAAAAGGGTTTTGGGGGTTGGGGTTTAGGATTACGTGCGCCTAGCACGCGCATCGGTTCAGGGTTTATAGGATGTAGGGATTAGGATTTAGGGGCGCTCCCGGTTTAGGGTTTGGGTTTTGGGTTCAGGCCTTCGGGTTTTTAGGGTTTGTGGGCATAGGGTTTTAGTGTTTAGGGTTGCGAGCGCGGTTGAGGGTATACAGGGTTTAGGGATTCGGGTTTAGGGATTCGGATTTAGGGTAAGGTGTGTTTGGTAGACCGGGCTGCTGGACAACGAGGCCTGTTGCAAAAGGGTAAGGTTAAATGGCTTGCGAGCGGTGCACGCATGTTCTAGGGGTTTAAGGGGTCAGTTTTGATTTTTTCCGTCTCGCATGGCTGAGAACGATGTTGGGGTTTTAGGGTTTTGGGTTACGCGCTCCCGGCGCGCGCATCAGTTCAGGGCTTATCGGGTTTGGGGGTTTGCCATTAGAGTTTAGGGTGGGTTCAGGGTTTATAGGGTTTAGGGGTTTAGGGGTGGGTTTAGGAAATAGGGTTTAGGGTAGCCGCTCGGATAGGAGTAGGCTCTTGCTCTTGCTCTTGCTCTTGCTCTTGCTCCTGCTCCTGCTCCTGCTCCTGCTCCTGCTCCTGCTACTGCTGCTGCTGCTACTGCTACGACCAGTTCAGTTCGGGTAGCCGAGGTTACCAACACCGGAATTAGAGGCACTGGCCGAATGAGCCCTGGTTGCAGTTGCAAGCAAGCCAGGTATCTTCTGATGAGATCCTTTGAAGCAGGATCTCCCAATGATGACTTCAGCTTTGGGATTGGTTGGGCTCAGCCGTGATTTCAGGAAAGTTGTGAGTTTCCGGGTTTTCGGGGTCAGTTTCGGTGTTGGGTTTCGGTGGCTGAGTTTCGGGACGGAGGGGTTCAGTTTCGGATCGGGCCCAGGTCAGTTTCGGATCGGGCCAAGATCAGTTTCAGGTCCAGAGCACGCCCGGTCCTAGCCCCGATGCCGAATGCAGTAGGCCGCTTCAATTAACTTTGATAAACCGTAGAACGACCCTAAACCAACTAATACCCCAACACAACCCAAACCCTAACCCGCCCAAAACCTAAACCCTAAACCCCGATAAAGCACCACCTGATTGCACTAATCCTTGCATTCTTTGCAAGCCGGTTCAGGGTTTAGGGTTCTGAGCATCGTATACACAGCTTTAGGTCCTTTAGGTCCTAGTGATGAGAACCTGCTCGTGCTTTACTTGTCCTTGTAGATCTTCTTGAACAATTTAGGGCACGTTATTTAAAGGTCCAAAGTTTAACGCTGCAACTATATCAGGGTCCCTTCTCATGTTTTGCCGATGCCAATTTCGGACCTCTAAATAACGTGCCCCTAAATTGTTCAAGAAGGTCTACAAGGACAAGTAAAGCACGAGCAGGTTCTCATCACTAGGACCTAAAGGACCTAAAGCTGTGTATACGATGCTCAGAACCCTAAACCCTGAACCGGCTTGCAAAGAATGCAAGGATTAGTGCAATCAGGTGGTGCTTTATCGGGGTTTAGGGTTTAGGTTTTGGGCGGGTTAGGGTTTGGGTTGTGTTGGGGTATTAGTTGGTTTAGGGTCGTTCTACGGTTTATCAAAGTTAATTGAAGCGGCCTACTGCATTCGGCATCGGGGCTAGGACCGGGCGTGCTCTGGACCTGAAACTGATCTTGGCCCGATCCGAAACTGACCTGGGCCCGATCCGAAATTGAAGCCCTCCGTCCCGAAACTCAGCCCCGAAGAATCACCCCCCTTCATCCGAAACTGTCCCCCAGCCAACCCCGAAACTATGGGAACCCGTGATTTCAGGGTTTGATTCGACTGACGGTCGCATGGCATAGGCAGAGTATCAAGGAGCTTGGGCCACTTGCATGCTGTTTCGGCCTCGGGCCATGGTGTCTCGCACACTAAAGCGTGACTCCGGCGAGGTCTAAGAGTCTAAGAGCTTCAATCCGAAGTTAGGTAGCCACTTCGCAAAAAAGACGGCAGACCTTATTGGCCGCACGGAGCTTGTGCTAAAGCCGCATTTGCGGCCTCTTCTTACTTCCTCCCGGTCACTCGTGGGTCAGCAGAGTCGGATGCATGTCGGGAGGCGACCAAGTCTGCGCAGGGGAAGAACGGCACAGTGCGGAAGACTTGTCCGGAGTTTCTCACGGACCTTCTAGCATGTGGAATGACAATTTCTTGTTCTTTGCGGGCATGTGATTGACATATCAACGCAACAGCCACGACCACTTCAGCATCACGCCCATGCCCATGGCCAAAGAGTCACTTTCAGCTTCATCCCAGGCCTCGACTTCTACATGGTGATTGTGCCGGTCCTCTCAAACCCACGTCTGACGAAAGCCTCTTGGGCAGCTTGGGCTACATCTGAGTCTCCGAAGTCTCCGAAATCTCACCCCGCAGTCCGATGCCATAGGACTTCCTAGCCTTCCTGGCCCTCCACCTCCACATTTGCAAACCGCAGAGAATCTTTTCGGCGTCCTCATGGCGTCGTCAGGGCTGGGGGGGAAGCCGCGAAGCGTAGGCCCTTTGACGTTAGCTCTTTGACTTTGGATTCAGGCTAATGCAAAAACGCTATTCTAGGACGCGTCCGGCAGGGTGGAGGTGTGACTTCAGTTCCAAAACCACTACCAAAGCTTGTGTTCTTGGAGGTTCCCAAGGTTCTGATGCAACTGCGACTGCGAGCCGCACTTGTGGACTTGTAGCTACCAGCCAGCCCATCTCCAATCGGATGCTCACGGAAACCGCCGAAGTGTCATGGGCTGGGTGTAAGCAGTGTATAGCTTTGGACAGCAGCCGTGCTTATTGGCGTTCCGAATTCGTAGTCCTGGCTGTGTGGGTGTCTGGGGTATTTTGTGGCTTGCTGCTGAGGCTTGTACTTTGCTTAGTGGGCGGAGGCATGAAATAAGCAGAGAAAGATTTCTCGCTTCATGTCATTATATTAATTTGAGTATTTTTGCCCAAGAAAGTGTGTTGAAACAATATCAACCCAAAGGCGCGGTTCCGATGCATCTTTTCCAAGCACCTGCAAAGGTGCATGAGTGAAGCGCCTGGAAACACCCTAGAGAACCGAAATCATCCCAGACTGCAACAGTCTACGCTGCTCCCAGCCTGCAGACCCATGGATCCCAGTCCAAAGCGCGCGCTGGCTGAGGCTGGCACGTACACGAAACTCTCAGCTTTCAGGCTGAAGGCGCTTCGCGACTACGGTCGTAAGGGGTTTCAAACCTGAGGGCCTAGAAAATTTAGGTTAGTTACAGTAGGGGTTGCCGCGGGAGTCTGCATATAAGGTAGAAATTTGGGCTTTGGGATGTGCCAGCAGTTTCAAGAAATTACGTTAAGAGCTTTTGAAAGCATGAAACTGACAGACTCAGGCTTCTGGGGTGCTTCGGGTTCTGTCTGGTTGCTTCCATTCCAGCTGAGAGGCGAAGCGCATTGTCTATCTGGATCTCGACACGGTTGTGCAGCTGGGACGAAGCATTCGTAGGGTTGGATCCTGTCAGGACACACCAGACAATCGTCCGTAGTAACTCTCACACCAGGCTGCATCTGGGAGTTGTGAAAAAGCATCTCGTTTCCATGTTTGTATTGATCTTTTGGCCCGGGGCTGTTGTGTTGTAGGATTGAGGGCAAAGCCGGCTTTCAGGCTATGGTTTTAGTGAGCGCAGACAGGCAGAGAGGATTTTGGTTCCTGGTTCCTGGTTTAAGTGATGTGCGGGAGTGGGATACAGTCGGCTTATGGTCAAGCAGAGAGCCTTTTGGGAATCAGGTTCTTTTTAACCTCAGCCCCAGTCGTGGTCAAGCAAGGTCTTGAGAACCACGACCCATTGTGGTCAAGGAAAGGGTTTTTGATCACGCATACATGACATGTTGTGACCAGCCTGAAGTTGCCAATTCTAGGCATCCGAACACAGAACATTTCACAGCCAACACGCATCGCATTCGGTTCAGAACATGCCACCTCCCAAGCCCTGGATCGCGCAAGTTGTTTGTCCATTTGTGTAATGCCCGGAAGCCCTCTCGAGAGAGTGTCAGAGAAAAAGGGAGTGTCTGGCGCTGTTCGACACAGGCTGCGAAATCCAGATGAATTATTTTCCGTCGCGCTCGACTCTCGGGCCAAATTATCCAGGGAGGGGCTTACATGTAGCAAGGTTTGAAGGCCATGGTGACTGCTTGCGATTGTGCTCATGGTGGTGAGTTATCTTACATTCATTCTCGGCGGTATTCTCGGAATTCAAGACTCAAGCCGGAGGCGCTGAAAGGCCTCCAGCGAATGAGCCCGGTCCTATGGCAAAAGCTGCCCCGTGCCCGTACTTTAACGGTTTCAGCTATGCCCAAGGTGCAGCAGAAACGGCTTTGGGTTTGCGTCTTCCGGCTGGGGGTCGTCGCGACGGGCTAGAAACTCTTGAGCCGCCCAGGACTTTGGTTTCAACGCTGCTCCAGATGTGGGAAAGGACCGGATCAGCATGAGCCAGAGCTGAATTGTGTGAATGCCAAATGGTTGGCCGTCAATCGGTCAACCATTGCAGCACTGGATGTTCTGCCGCGATACGGCTCTACATCAACGTCGTGAGGTGACGATAGGAAAACTTGATTCCGGGAGCCCACCTGCCCATGTTGGATTTCTCGTCAGGACTGGCAACTGAACTCCGGAGTGTTCGTGGTGGAGCCAACAGAATTCTTATACAGAGATCTCGTATCCTTTGCTATGGCCACGCCCATCATACCCGAGCCGTGGTATGACGGAGGCGCGCATGTCAGCCAAACTTGTCCATGGGACGCCAAGTGTCACGTGCTGGCTCGATTGTCTTCCTACCACGACGGAGTGTTACTGCTTCTCCTACAGCTACGGATTCCACAGCAACAACGAGAACTGCTACTGACTACGTACCGCTACGTACTACTTTGTACTAATCCGCCTTTTCGACTGGGCTTGGAACAATGCAAGTGATCCTGGACTCTGAGGCTGACGGGCTTTCAGTTCCATCCCGAATCGAAGCCTTGTCAGGTGATCAGGGCTTGCTGAGCTACTACTTTCGCTGCTAGGCTTTACCAGTGCCGTTTCGGGTTCGACCGCTGCTCAAATAAGTGCTAGGACGCCAGGATGGCAGCACCAGCGACCCCGAAAGCCTTTTCCCTTTTTGAGGCTTTGTAGTGCCGTGGTTTCCCGATACGTTGGGTTCAGTGACCGGCCGGCTTGACGAAACCCCAATCCGACAGTTCGCGAGGCTAGAACCCAAGGTCTGTAGAGAGGTGCTGTGGATATGCTGGCTCCAAGCTTGCGGGTCAGGTTGTCAATTTGTCAAAACGCAGGATGCCACACAAAGGATTCTCAAAAGAAGTTGATTGAAGTTCGGCAAGCACCCATGTGAGTGGCGATGTACCTTGCACTTCAGAGAGGCCGACGCCCACTGCATCATGAAGTGTTGGCCTCAGGAAACAAGTGGAGCAAGGCCACAGCTTTGCCGGAGAGGTTCGACACGCTGAAGTACGCGGAAGGGGCTACCAGGATAAACAGAAAGCAAGCCGAAGCCTAATGCTTAACACCAAGGTACAGACCGGAGCACTGTAGCTGGAGTCCAGACGTCACTCTTTGGATTTCAGGCGTTGGGTCCAGAGCCCAGAGCTTGAGGATTTAGGCCAAAACCTCCAGGTCGGCAGAGGGGTGTCAAGGGTTCCCCCAGCATTATTCGGCCGCGGACTCCAAGAAGTATAGGAGGTAATACTGAGCGCCAGTCTCGTCTAAAACTCTGCGTGTTTGGGTGGAGTAAAACTTGTTCAACCTCGAACGCACTGACACTTCAGGCTTATGCCGGGATTCTAAATCCTCGGCCGATGCATGACTTGCTTGAGATTGCGACTCAGCTAAGATTCAGAAGAATATCGATATCGACTCCAAAGTGATCGTTCACCTTTGCGGACTTCGAAAGCCGTGGGACCTTACAGCTCCTGGCAGCGATCAGGGGCGATCGAAGATTGTAGGTGGTCAGAAGGTTGGATTAGGGGTCTTGGGGTCAGATCCGGCGAGTGCACAAGCCCCGGGTCCTTGTCGGGAAGATGTGAAGTTGCCAGCCGTGAACCGAAATTTCCGAGGCATATGTACCACAAGCCCCGAAATCTGAAAGACAAAGGCCCCGCACCTATGGAACCTCGCCTGGCTTGTCCGAGTTGTGAGAGCAGAAAGACCAAAGCCCTTTAACCAGGTCCCGACCCTGGCTCAGTGTCAGGTTTAGGGGTGTCATCTCATAGTCTTGCATCAAAGAACTTGCAGCTTTCTCGGGTTTTGCTAACACCCCAGCCCTTTCTTCCAGATTCGCAAGTCTTGACATTGGCTAAGGTGTTCCTGCACAGGAGCACTAGGATAGGGACCCAAAGCACCTGACAATCGACGCATGAAAGACCCCCAGGAAAAGGACAGGATGCAAGTGACGGAACAGTGGCCGCAGTCCTACGCGGCCTGGTGGCGAGCAGAAGCAGATTTTAAGCAACGACCCTTGGTGACATTCAGGCTGAGCGGCCTTTGCGGGTAGTTCAGGGCTTGGGGCCAGCCACCAGCTCGTTTTCGTGCCCGTGCCGAGAAGCGGTGATTCTGCAATCTCCGGGTATTGTGGCCCCATGATCGGTGAACTCGCTCCCCCAAACTCAAGATCTAGGACGTTGCTTTGGTGCGCTCAGGATACGCGGGAAAATGCCCGCGGCAACTCGTGCAATGATTTGCCATACTGCTCGGGGCGATTGCCCCAGTTTCCCATTAATTTTCTGGAGCTTAGCAGCCAATAGACTTGGAACAAGAAAGGCAAGGTTATGCTTAGCCGCCCAACTCGTCTACGGAACGTTGAACAGATCTAGGGTCCCTTTTTTAAAGGTCCCAACATCCGATCCAGGTGACTACTCTAGCCTAAAGTCCTTCGACGTCAAGTGCTAAACTCTGCACCCGAAGTCCTTCGACGACTTTGGTGACTGTACGCTGACATGCTGCTCCGGCAATACTTGCCTTGAGCCTTCGCTGCTGCCGCCGTTTGCAAAACTTGAACAGGGTGTACATGGCGGGATCGAAAGGCGTGAGTGCAAGGCGAGGCTTTCGAGCAACGTTAATGAGGGCTTCCTGTTGGTAGTTGCGTTTGCTCTGTGTTTGTTCCAAACGGGTTGGCAGGCTTGGTGTCCAGCATCTGTCAAGAGGCTCTCGCCATTTGAGCCCTTTTCCCAGGTCCCGCACTTGCATGTCTCCAATCTACAACTCCCGAGAAGAGTTGGGCCCATGCACGATTTTGAGACACCTCCAATGCGTGCCGTTTATCACGGTGATCTGGCAAGCTGATGCATGTCAGCCACTCTTTTGACAACAACACTGGCGCCGGAGTATGGATTGCAAAACCTGCGAAGGAATGTAAGGCTATGTACGTCTTGCGGTTTGTCAGGAACAGCATTGCGCACCAGAAGATTGGTCCTTCGAGGCCTGAACTAGTATAAGACACTGACTGACCATACCGCGAGTCCTGAACGGAAGCCACTCCTTGAAAGCAAATTGTTCCCTCTGGCCATGGAAGCCTCGGCGGAACTTCGAGAGAAGCTTGCCAGACAGGCCGAGTCCGATAGTCTTGCGTCGGCTCTAGGCTCTAGGTGTCATGAGAGTTTAGCCGTCCTGCTGTGCGCGATTCGCCTGTATTGGCGTTCACATGCTTCTGCAAGAGTCTTGCTCTGCTACTAGTAACGCCAAGCACCGCAGAAGTGCTGTTTGTATGCGTCTCCTGTTCTATGCAGTACGGTTTCTTTCGTTTCTCTTTCATTTGCGGCGGGCAAGTTTCGACACAATCTCATGATTACAGTCAACCTTCGACCGGGAAGCCAACAAGAACCTCGCAAGTGTTCGAAAGGTTGCATATGCACCGCCCACTTCAAGAAGTCCGATCCGGTTTGTGCACTGGCCAAAGATCGAATCCATGGTCGCCCCTCAACTCACCGGAAGCCCGATAGGTTTCGACAAGACATGCTTGATGTTATTACCAGAGCGTCCAAGCTTCACATCCCAAAGCCCCACAGGGTGGGAAAAAACAAGCCCCACAGCTTATTGCAGTTCCTCCTACTACATGCCTAGTTTCACAGTTGCCTTGACATACGGTGAAGACAATTGCGAAGGAATCCTAAACAGCAGGACCTGCCCGCACTCACATCATACGTGGTGATCGCCATGGAGAGATTCGTCATTGTCATCGCTTCCATCATCGACTTCGCTCATGTAAACTGTGAGCCTGGTATCCCAAACCATCCGCAAAAGCAGCCCGAGCTTCGAGAGCCAAAGCTTGGCTGCATTCCTGGGGCCATAGCCAGGCGCTGCGAGCTGAAGGCGACTCAGGGGTGGTCGTCGAAAGCTCTCTGCGTTTCAAAACTGATTGGTTTTTTCAGTCCTCCACCTGGCCACAACCTTTTTCCTAGAGGCACGGGGTTGCCTCCTAGATGTGTGTGGAAAAATTTGCAAGACACGTTTTGCAATGGCTCCGCAGCCATCTATGTATGCATTGCCTTGGCATGATTGCAGCAGGGTTTGTTCTTCGGATACCATTGACGATTTATCGGCAGAACTGACCCTTGACTGAGGCATTGGAGCCCAGGTTTCATAGACAGTCGGTGAGTGGGCATCGGGGAGGTGTGTAGATCACGTAGATTTGTTATACATCCTTGATAGGGAAAGCAAAGCTGTCGGGACTCTGCCGGAGGCCCGGCAGAAGACGTGATCCCAGTCCCCGCCTTGACTCATACGCATCCGAACCTCGGGTATCCTATTCCGGCGTGGGTCAAGAACCCAAACCGACGAGGCATCAGCTACCTGAGCTTCCCACGTGCTGGCTCATGTTTCAACCGGCTAGCTTCAGAGTCGAAATCTGTGGGTGCAAGGCCCTGTGAAGCAGTGTGCTGGAATCCCTGAACCCTGAAGCCTGAACCCCACAATTCCCGAACCGAATATGAAAGAGCAGAATTTTCAATGAATTTCCTTTCTACTATTGTCCCCGTTTCTGAACGGAATAAACAGCAACTACACAGAGTGCCCACACGAAGCCCTGCAGGTGCAGTCCCCTTTGGGGACGAGTCGCGGTTCTCGCACCGAACATCCTGGGGCTTTGGTCTCAGATCGCGCAATGTCTAGCGACTTGAGTGCTAAGGCAGCATGGAGCTCGGAGGCTGAACCGGACGGGGCTCCACAATGCATAGAAGGTGTGACGGGTTGGGCTCGTTATTCTTTGTGGACTCATCCAGCACAACCTGCGCACACGGGAGCCTCTAAGCCTGCTCTTTAAGTCGCCCCCGTCTGAAAACAAACAGTTCTGGAAGGGAGAACTGTCGTGGTGAAGACACATGTTTGCCGAATCAGGAAGGTCACTTCACGTTGAAACTCGGTGGTAGCCAGAAAAAACCAGGACGAGAAGGCATGAGCAAATAGCCGAGCCCTCACACGCAGCATCGAAAGAGCGGCTCAGATAAACGTGGGCGTGCACGGTCCCGACTCAGTGGAGGGCACCTTATATAAGGTGGTATTGGTTTTCTGCAAAGATGTGGAGACGTGTGGACTAGCTACGACAGGTGCCCGCCAGGCTGTTGGACAGAAACTCATAGATGTCGAAATTTGCGTATCAAATTGAGCCAAGCACCAAGCGACCGGTGATGTATCTGTGCATACCTGGAGTGATAAAACTGGTGGCAGCATGAGGGCACAGCTATCCAGGATGGGTCCGTTGCGCCTCTCGTCGGAACAGCCACGATCGTCTGTGCTATGTGCAGCACAACAGCGCATCAGCCGGCACTGCAGCAGGGGCGCTTTCTGGCCACAGCCGGTGCAGCCTCAAGCTGAAAAGTGTCAATTGAACGTGTCGCGCAGACAGATGGTAACGATGCACGGGTCCAGCCACGCCGAAGCAGATGATGCCTGGGTCATGAGTGCTGAAAAGGATCCCCTGCCGCGTGGTCTTTCGGGTGACATGCTTGCAGAGCCGGCCACCAGCACCGGCAACTGCTACTCCCACCCCTTTCTGACCGCATCCCTGCATGAGGATTTAGGGGGACTAGGGTGACTAGGGTAGCAGTCGAGTCCCTTGTGAAAAAAAGGGTGACTAGGGTACGTCACTGAGGCAAGCTCGAGCATACTGGCCTGGTTCGCGGCCGAATAGCAACATTCGATCGCAGGCGAACCGCTGATGTTACTTTGTCAGCAAATAAGTCCGGCAAAATGCGCAAGGTGTCATCCATTTTCTTCTTTCCAACCAATTGGCAGCCAATCGATTGTTATGTCGAAGCCACGCACGGCCAGTGCGACAAGTTAGTACAAGTTTCAAAGTCTTGAGCTTGAAAATGAGCCCATTGTCTTTCACCAGGTACACAGACAGCATCGAAGATTCAGGGGTGAGCTGCGGAAAATCCGAGACTTCGGACATGATTTCGGATGTCCTCGCAGAGCCATGGAAAAAGTCAGCCCCATGATCTGTAAAGCCCCAATGAAGACTGCGAAGCCAACGAGGCCGTTTCTGGGCATGTAAAGAAACCTCGAAGTACCCTCGCAACAGTCCCAGAGGATTGGACCCTCGGCAGATCGCGGCGTCGCACTCGAAGCGAAGACGTAGCGGAGTCACGAGGAGGCTTCATTTAGGGTTCAGTGTTTGAGATGGGCTTCGAAACCTTCTTGGGCATTTCAGATGGAGGCTGGCTGCTCGACCTTGTTCTGCTTTACTCAGGCTTGCCAGTTGTGCAAGCACTTGCAAGCATTGCAATTCAGGTGCCGGCACGGGGTCCTGGGTCCTGTTTCCGGTATCGGAGGACCCAAGGTCTCATGGCTTCGAGTTGAAGTATGGCAGTGCTTAGTCGTTGAGCCGTGAGTTATGGGACATGTGTAAGACGTTGCGGCCGATTCCAAAGATTTTTCCGACTTGTCTCGATGTGTACTTGGATGCTGGAGCTGCGTTCGTGAGTAGACGTGCTCCCACACAGACTGCGGCTGGCATAGATCCCAACTGGCAGGTCCTTATATCAGGACATCAAAATGACAGCGGAGAGAGCACCCAAGAATCGCTTGCCAGTCACGACATAAACGGGTCCCAACTCTTCGCCTACCTCATTGTTGTTGTTGAGCCACCGAAGTCTTAAAGTTTGTGTTGTTAAGGTTGACTTAGTGGCTTATACTGTGCAGTTCAACTCGAGGGTTTTGGATGGGTTCGCTCAGCCGACCTGTGAGTGAAAGAAAGAGAAACACAGAGAGAGAGTGAGACAGTTTCACATTCATCGGCTCCTAGCGTGACTTTTCTTTCAGACGTGATCTGAACTTTCACGCGTTGGCCGTCGGCGCAGGGGGTTTCAAACGCCCTCCCTGCCCAGGAAGAGAGAGAGAGAGAGAGAGAGAGAGAGAGAGAGAGGAGGGGTGTTTGCTCGTGTATACCGGCACCAACGAAAAATCATCGCCGAGCGGAGCTTGAGCGATGGCCCAGTCAAACGCAGAGTGGAGGACCCAGGTGAACACAGAGTGGGGTTTCATGGTCAGGGCCTTAGGAGGGGTGTTCTTTCGGGGGGGTTTGACTGTGCTCACCTGGAGGGAACACTGCTGCAAGCCCCAAAAAGGGGATACGACAGACAGACGCGAACCGTTGTGGGGTTGGCCTTCGGGCCGGGGGTCTTGACCCCAAACCCCTAGCAAGCAAGCAAGCAAGCAAGCAAGCAAGAGAGACCCTCCACAGATGTAAGAACCCAATTCAGGCGTCCGTGCATGACTGTCAAAGTTCGAGTATCGGGGGACACGACTCTTTGTTTCTCCTTCCTAGAGTTGTTATATCAAGGAAAATACCTATGAAACCCGGAAAGTATCCAACAATAGCCGAAACTCGAACAAACTTTCACACCCCCGAAAGCCCCATAACATATGGGGGGCCAAAAGGCCAGGGGGTCTGACCCGCCCCCTATGCCCTGGGGAAGAAGAAGAAGACAGACCGAGCAAGCGAGCAAGCGAGCGAGACAAAGACAAACGACGCTTCGGGTCTGCTTCAAGCTTGGATGCGACACTGTAGCGCCCAGCGTGACTCTAAGCAAGTGTTTGGCGTGCCGTGGTGGGGTCCAACAGGCGAACTCCCGACAGCCGACACTCGGGTGAGGCGAGGTGCTGAGGTTGATGTCGGGAGTGCTTGAAGGCCTTTAGGGCCTTTAGCAACTTTGCGAGGATTGGGCTTTCCATGCTGGTCTCCGTGTTGAGGATTGAAACAGTTTACTTGGATTCTGTTGGTGCCACCGTCGTTTGGTCGAATCTGCCGCTTGTCAAATCCAATCTCCTACACCCTGAGCTCGAGGGCTTGAAGCCCTGGCAGGCGCTCGCTGACGCATACGCCTGCCGCGACTTTGGAAGCAAGCAAGAGGGTCAGAAGCCCGAGTCGGTGGAAGCTGACGGGTTGTCTTTTCTGGAACCTAAGCTAGGATGTCTTCATGTTCGAAAGTTTAGCGGCTGCAGATAAGGCACGGGGAGCCTTTGTTGGCTGCTTGCTTAGTTGACGCCTTTGCATGGGAGGAGTTTCTTAATTGGAGGTTCGCTCCAAGACTAGGCTGTGTGGCCCGACTCAGATCGTGGTTGTACGCCTCCGAAATACTCGTTTGGAGCTCACTCCGCGAAAGTTAGGATAATCTTCCACTTGGGATCGTGTTCGAAGCGTCTCGGGACATGCGACTGAACTGAAAGCAATGTGGCTGCTCCAGGAAGGCTGGTCCGTTTCATTGAATCGGCTGCCAGTACAAACATCTCAAAGCGGGTTTGGTTTCAGTGTGTCATTGTGAAGTGAAGTCTGAAGTCGGGCCATGGCCTCTGATTGTCAAGCGTCGTTTCAACTTTTTTGCGAAAAGAGGTCTCAACAGCCCTACAACAGATCCAGTCCTTACTCCATCTTCCTTAAATGTCAGTGTAGGCTCGAGCCATAAACCCAAGTATCCTGCGATCCGAGCCTCGGGGGCAAGCTGTGTGCGGCCCAGGCTTCGTCGTCAGGCTTTGACTGCCAGGAGGCCTCCAGCGACGGAGCGTGACGGATCAAAACAGCACGCCATTCCGTGCAAGCATCGTGGCTGAGCGTTGAAGCCGCTCTGCCGGAGCAAGCCCTGGGTCCGAAAGAAGATTCTTTCGAATGCTTCCGTCGGTTGCAGGAGGTTCACCCAAATCCCAAGAAACCCGATGCCTGCACAGAAGCCTCTGCCTGCGCACGAGAAACGTGCTCGGAAGCCGAGCCTTTAAAGATGCAAGGCGGGAGCACGTCCCCTACGCGCTGCCAGCGCGGACTCTGTGCTGAGGTTTCCCGGAGGCCAGCGAGGCCCAGGCCAAAAGTCGTTTGCATTTGTGAACCATCACATACTTCGAGTTTTCAAAACTTTCAAGCTTTCGAATTGGTTGTGTAGAGATGGGATGTTAGGTCTGTTGGGTTTGTACAGAGCTGAGTTTAGATCATGCGGGAATGTTCACGAGCTGTTGTTGGGGTTCTGCAGGTTCACCATTTGGGAAGAGTCTCGGGTCTTGAAGGATCCCGAGTTTCGATTTTGGTGTGATGGTTTCGCGGTTCTGGCTACCATCTTGATGCGAGGGTTCTTCATGTGTATAAGGGCGTGTGCTGTTGCTAGCCTCTGTGTTGGAGCAAGGGCAGGGCCCTCACCTCTGCCAATCGCAGCGACTGCGAAGCTTGTGAGCTTGTTGGCTGAAGATGTAGTGTCGGGGATAATCCAGGTCGCAGTTTTTTTCTCCTATTCAAGGCGCCTCGTCGTGGCATGTGGACTGTTTCGATTTCTAGCTTCACGGCATCTACAATCAGGCGACACCGAGGCACCAAGCACCGCTGTCTCAAGATCAAATCAAACATAACCCTGCCCGGGCTGACAGGCCAAGATCTTGCAAGCTTGGACCGAGACGCGATCAAGGCAGGGCCAACTCTGCCTTTCGGTTGTCGCTCTGTCCTAGAAACCCCTCGCAAAGACGATTTGGCATGCTGGGTGAGGAATCTACCAGATCATTGTGCCAGGGCAATCATCAAAGCTGTCGGTTTGGGGGTGTGGAAGGCACCTAGCCCAAATTCACCACATGAAGCCGAATACACAGGACGGCATTGCGAATGCTAGCGCACGTTCCTCGTCTATTGCTCATCCGGGGACGCTTGGATCCAGAATCACTTCTTACATCCCGCCGTGTCCGCCAATTCAGGTGCCAGGCCATAAGTCGCAATCCTTGTCGGACGAACCCAGTGAACCAGCGTCTGATATGTATGCTTGACTCGACTTGGCTCTCCAGATTTGGCATGTGGCATTTGGGTGTCACGGTGTCACGTCATGATATTTTGCCGGATGCCTCGGCAGGTCGTCCTGACAAAGGGCCTGCAAGTGAAGATTCTTGGTGCATAATGGCTTGCTCCTGCTCTTCCCAATCCTCCAATCCGGGGTCGGACTTTGTTGCTTGAATGTGGAGAGGAGATAGTGTGTTGGGCTTGGGGTTGAAGACTGTTTCAGCAGACGAGCAGTGCTACTCTCAGCTGACAGGGGAGGCCGACTGTACATGGGCTGAGGTTGGTTTCATCTTGACTTGGCAGATGCCGGGACCCCTGCACCCGGAATTTTAAAACCACAAAGCCCAAAGCTTTGAGCAACCTGTCACCTGTGCTGAGGACCCGAGTCCAGGACCCGTTGCCTGAAGAGAACTGAACGTTTCTTCCCAAGCAGTCCGGTTTGAGCTGTCGGGAATCTGGGCATTTACAAGCACCCCTGGTAGAAGTTATGGCGAGCGAGCCTGGGCAAAAAAGCATCCATGATTGTAAGAGGTCTTAATGCTGCAGCTTGCGCACTGGCGCGATCCGTGAAGCACGTCCAAAACTCCTCGTCGGTCCCTGTCCGGGAACCTACAAGAGTCCGTCTGCCAGCCTTGTGCGAGTGCGAGAGTCGAAAGAGTCCGTCTACAGCTCGAGACGATTCTCACGTCCTTTGCAGAGGACCCCATCCCGACCAGCAGGTTCAGCTGCTCTACTGCAGGCTCGGTTCAGGGAGTTTGAGGCCTGCTGTCCATGATAGTCGGCCGCAAGCCTCGTAAGCTTCTTGCATCTTCTACGGAAATCGCGCACTTCTGGGGCACACGAGTATTTGAATCTCAGGCCGTATACCTGATCTGCCACCGCCTGGCATTCTGTAGATATTAGATACACTTGTGTTGAAGGCAGCCGGCATTCGGGATTGCCTGAAACTGCATGGGATTCTGCCACGGCAATGTCGGTTTGAAGTCCGTTTGACCTTCAAAGCACTTTAAGATGTGGTGTGGCCGAAATATGGTAGTGCAGCGTAAGCAGCCAGCCTTGAACCTCCTCAACAGACAGACAGTAACTCAGGGAACACAATCCGTGACCTGACTGCAGAATGCCTTCTCACATTGTTCTATGCTAGCCGCCTGCAGTCCACCAAGAGTTGCAGTAGTATCAAGGCAAGCTGTGGCTGGGGTGGGGGCCTTCCAGAAGCATCCTCCTTCAAACGAAAGCAGCCTGTGACACCCTGAGATGCCGCCCACGGCCAGAAGCCACCCGAGGCCTTACGAATTCGCTGGTGTTGCAGGACCCTGGCCTTTGAGAGCCACCAACGGAAACACGCAATGACGAAAGACCTTGCATCGGAAAAGACAACGACTGCTAAACACCTCCAGTCCTACACCCTCTGTATCGAGCAACCGAGACCTTGAAACCTTAGATTGGCCCTTGGTTTCAAGCAGCCGGACCCGACCTACGAACAGCCTTCAAGAACAGTCTTGCAAGTTCAGAGTACAAACTCCTCATCACAGGGACCTTAGTTAGTCACTGGTGAGGGATGGCTAGCGAAGGGTTTCCGATCGGTGGGAGGTTAAGTAGTTGACCTTCCCGTCGAACGGTTTGGGAAAACAGGCTTAGTCAGCGCCGCCGTTTTGGATGCTTCTTCGAGATCTGAATGCTCAGATATCAAGGTTGCAAGGGTTAAGGTTGACGCTTCGCTGTCTCTGCCAACTCTTGGCCTTTATGCTTCAGATCCCAAGCCCTGAAGCCCTCATTCCGAAACCACAACCTCGCCACAGTTGTGCCACCATCGAAATCGATGTCTTAGGAGTGCCTTGCCTCAGTTGTCATGGAAATCTATCTGGCAGCGAGCCCCCTAGATCACATATCGCCGAAAAGGTTCGCTGGTGTTGAAACTGACAGTGGTTGTGCAAGGCAACATAGACCGTGGATTATGAACATCTCCAGGCAGATTCGAGGTTTTCAGCTTTCAAACGACCATACCCCCCGCATGCCATCAAACAACACGTCTCTGCAACCCGGCATGTTTGCTTCCCGGACACCGGCAAAGTTCGCAGGTGTCGCCGGCGAGGGCTGCCGCCGCCGCTGCTGCAGCGGCTGCCGCCGAGCCTTTGGGAGCCTGCGCACGCTGCTGCGCCGCGGCCAATTGGAGGTTTGGGAGCCTGGAGGTCATAAGATGTGTTCCGGAGTCTGCGGCATCCGTCTTGGTATGACATTGGGGTGCCTATTACTTAGATGGAAAACGGGAAGCTGAAACAGGGGGTTGTAGAGGATTACCAAAATCTTGGTGGGCAAGCTGCGGAATAGCATAGGATACACGTCTTTGCTATCCACTGTCCTTCGTGTAATACTGGTGTATAAAACCTAACCATGCCACTTTATGTCTTTGCCGGATCTGTCACTCTCGCAGCTTACGAACAACGCGCGGCAATCTCATGTCCGAAACACTCGAACTGTTGTGTTTGTTTTCCTTCTTGATCTGCTAAGCAGTTTAGCACTTTGAGATCGTTCCACATCCAACAATACCCCTCACAAGGTAGATGTTTGAGGGGCTGGCGGCGTCCACAGGATCCATTGCTGGAGCGAGAATAAGTGTTAGTTCTATTGAGACTGCTTTCGATGCGAGACATTTCAAAAGGACTGTCGAGTTCTTGGTCTTTGCTTCAAGAGTGCAAATCAGGCTACGTTACAAATCAGCTTGACCACAAAGCTGCACATAACACTTGACATGGCTCTTCGGCTTGAAGATTTCATGTCGAACTCGCAAGTCGCTCCTGAGCGCACCACAAAGTGATATGGATGTCCAGACTCAAGCCGCACACCTTCACCCTGAGGGCCCTAAGGCCGCCGCACTAAAATTAGTCAGTCAGCGAGGCAGGTGGCACAGAGGCTTTAGCAGTGAAGGCTGAAAACAAGCCACCTCAAACCCCTCAAAGCCGCATACGCTCAAGACTTGAGCTTAAGGGCCTTGAGCCGATATTCAGAATCATAAAGCAGTAAAACCTAAAGCCGGAACCCCACCTGCCAAAACCTCCAACGACCTTAACCCCGAAGTGCCCGAGATGCCGGGATAAGGGTTTAAAGAAATTAAATAAGGATCAAAAAATTAAATAAGGATCAAAAAAATTAAACCACAATTTGTGTGACATTCCTATTAAAAACCTATTGAAAGTCTACAGAAGGAGGCATCAAAAAATTGAATAAGGATCCAAGAAATAACCCACGAAACCTATTCCAGTCCTGTTGAAAGTCCAGAGAAGGAGGACAAGAAAGAAAGAAAGAGACAAACAAAGAAATAAACAAAGACAGAAAGAAAGAAAGCAAGAACAACAGAACAACATAAATACATAAAGAAAGACAGAAGGAAATAAATAAAGAAAGAACCCAAGACAGAAAGGAAGAAAGTAACAAAAACAGAAATAAAGAAAGAAAGAACAAAGGAAAGCAAGAAAGAAATAAATAGAATAAATAAATAACCAAAGAACAAAAGAATTAAGGAAAGAAAGAAATAACGAACCAAAGACAGAAAGAAAGAAAGACCCCCAACCCCCCCCCCCGCTCTTTTGTTTTTTAAAGCCGGGTATGCTTGCTTCAAAGCATGCGAGTTCCACACCCAGGCTGCGAGCATTGCGTTTGCAAATGGTGGGGGCTGCGCCCCCCCCCCCCCCAACCCCCCCGCTCTTTTCTTTCTTAAAGCTCTTAAAGCCGGGCAGGCTTGCTTCAAAGCATACGAGTCCCTTCCGAACCCATGCTGCAAGAATTGCGTTTGCAAATGGGGGGTGGCACCCGCCCACTCTCTTTTTTTTGCCGGCAGGTTTTGCTTCAACGCATACGAGTCCCTTCCAAACCCATGCTGCGAGCATCGGGTTTGCAAATGGGGGGGGCTGCACCCCCCCAACTCTTCCTAAACCCTCAAAGGAAACCCCAAACCCTAAACCCCAAAAGGAAACCCTACACCCTAAAGGGTACGAGAAACCCTAAACCCGAAAAGGAAACCCTGAACCCTAAAAGGTGAGGGAAAGCCTGAACCCTGAAAGGAAACCCCAAACCGTGAACCCGAAAAGGAGACCCTAAAGCCTAAAAGGTAAGGCAAGCCCTGAACTCGAAAAGCAAACCCTAAGAAGGGCAAAACCCTACAAGGAAACCCTAGACCGTAAAGGGAAACCCTAAACCCAAGCAACTTGAACCTTAAAGAAACCCAGAACCCGAAACCCAGAGTTGGCTAAGTGACCCTTAAAGGTTTTGCTAAGTGACCGCCGCCTTTTTTTTGAAGCCGGGCAGGCTTGCTTCAACGCGTACGAGTCCCTTCCAAACGCAGTGCTCACGAGGGGGCCCCCCAACCCCCCCTCTTGTTTTTTTATTTTTATTTTTTGACCCCTTCCGCATCATTTTCCTATGGTTTTTTGCTACATTCTAGAATTTTATTTTTGATCCGTAATTTTCATTTTGTGATCCTGTAGTTTTAATTTTTGTTGATCCTTGTTTAATTTTTGTTTTGATCCCTCACCCAGATGCCGAAAGCCACAAAGAGAAATTCAGCTCTTTAGGCTTTTTGGGTTTCTTGACCATGGCAGCTGAGGCCCTTAAAGCATAACTTAGACCCTGAAGCTTCAATTCCCGAATCCCGAAACACCTTGAACGTTTTAGCCCTAAGCCCGCAAGGCTTGAAGCTTGAAAGCCCCACAAACCCTAAACCTTAAAATGCTCAAGCGCGCTGCACCAGGAAAAGCCTGAAACCTTCAAGTCCTTCCAAGCCCTAGGCCCGAAACCTTGCATGGGAGCTCGGTCAATGAATTTGGATTTCAAGAATCGAAGAATCTGTCTGTATGGAATGAGGACAACATATTCTGGGAGCTGCATTCATGGATTCAAGCGAGATGGTGGAAGTCAGGGGGCGAGAGGTGATGTGAATGAATCCTGTGCATTGGGGATTTACGACATTGTCTCGTGAGTCAGGGAACGGGCTTCTGTGACTTTGTCTCTAGACTGGCTGTGGTATCGTGGAGGACGCAGGTAGTGTCACATTGAACAGTTAAGGAGCTGTGACGTCTGTAGGGGCAGACATTGGCCGAAGCTTGTCAGCTCTGTACCTATTATTGATTCACCTTGATATTCCACATGTTTGGGCCAAGTCTTCTTTTAAAACAGCTGAGCAAGGACTCAGAACATCATCACATGTGATAATCATGGAGAGACTGCGGAGCACATTCTCTAGGGTCATGGTCTTAGCGAGTCGGGTTCGGTCTGTTGCGCCTGCCTCCTCAGTCATTGCAGCGGAGATTGAACTATGTGGGCCCTTGCCTGCCTTGTGCAAGTGTGAGATAGTGCGAAAGTCGAAACCTTGACGGCCTTAGATCCAAAGGGAAACACACCAGGCTTCAAAAGCCTTCTCTC